ACTTATTTTTGAAAACCTTAAATGTAGGTCCTCTAGTTGGTTATGTCGATGGCGAAAAAGATAAAAATGATGGTGATTACACTGAAGTAACTATTTATGTCAGAGTATTGTGTGCTTTGTTTTGTTTTGAAATTACTCGTCACAAATGAAGAATTTTATAGGGGAACGAGAAAGACCGATCATCATTTTCAGTAGAGAAAAGCACTGGTTCAAGACAAGCTCATAATAATTCGAAACGGAAATTGGGCAATCAATCAGATTATACATATTACGAGGGGTTGGCACTCTTGTTCGACGAATCAAACGAAGAAGCCCTTATGGAAAGCATTGACGAGAAAACTCTTGCTGAAGAGGACAAATTACCATTAATGGGAGAAGAGGGTCGGTCACAATATATGCGTGAAGACGTGGTGGAAGCTTTCCGAAAATATCAAAGCAGAATTCCCAAAACCCGCCAAGCATATACGTAAGTTTGCCTTTGTTTTGAATAAAGACCATTGCCTGATTATTAATATATCACTTAATCCTATAGCCCTGCATATTGGGGAGTGTTCGATTTAACAAAAGAGAGCTTATACGGATGCAAGGAATTTACCGAAGATGATTTACAGCAATTATCTCAGGATTTTGCTGACCACATAAAGTGGAAACCCGAGTTTGTCACAAAGAATGTCGGAGATTACTTTGACAGTAATTGTGAAAAGGTTGATAATGATCAAGAACTCAGAAAATTTGATAGACACATTCAGTTTATGTAAGTAATATGAATTATATTCTGGTTATCTGGCATTATATTCTAACTATGTATTGTTGTATAGGAAAGTTAATATGAATTCGTTTCAACAAATGCTTCCTGAGGAACAACTAAAAATGACGTCATCCTTTCCACTATTCCATGGGGTATTCAATTCAAGTCTCTGGTGAGTCAGTTGCATTAATTACTTTTATGAAATTAATACTGAATGTGAACTTCTGTATCTAGGGGAGAAACTCAGGCTCTTTCGACAAATGATGCGCGAAATGAAAAAGTTAATCCGTTCATAAAAGCACGCATGGGAAGGAAAGTAGATATGAAAGCAACCTTAGTCATGACATCAAATAAATTCGAAGTTATTTACGGGGAAGTTGCGGGCGGTTTAGGACCGTTAGGAATTCCCATGGCTTGTCGAAAAAAGCGGTTTTTGGACAAAGTAAAGTTAATGATAATAATGCGTGACTCTATCGATCGTTTGTTAAACGAATGTAAGCACGTGTCAGAAAAAACTCGAATGAGTTTAATAGTTTATGGCTGGCTCCAAGTCGGTAGGTTAAACATGATAAAGTTTCAGAAAGCTATTTTGCTAATGGATTTTATTTTTAGGTCTGGAATTAAATTTCTACGCGATGGACTGGTCAGGATCTGGAATTTATAGATTTGGGTTAATAGATAGATGCAGGATACCTGCAGATGAAGACGATTGCTTTATGTTGGAAGACGCATACTGTATACTTAAATCATTAGAGGTATGTTGTTATTGATCTTTTTGTTTATTTAATTTGGCACCAAATATCTAACTTATCAAATGTAGAAAAAATCGCTTGAAACAGAGACTACAGTGAAACAACTGTTTTCAGAAAATACGAAGGGTAAAAGACGCCGAATTGCACCTGAGACTGAAGCAGAACTGAACAAGAATCGCACTCCACCGTCCAAAAAATAAGGCATTGATCGCTGATGACTAGAGTTAGTTCACTGAGAAAACGCACGTTTTTATATCTAGCTTGTAAAACTGTGTCTCAGACACTAGCTCTGTTATATCTCACAGTAAAGGCGATCAATATATCCCGCCTTCTCGTGACTCCATCACTCGAAGCCAGATAATTACAGTTAATTATATATCTTTATCTAGATGGCTAATATTTTTTTTCGAACCTGTGAGAAAAAAGGATTTCACAAAACAGAGATGAATTAGCTTAGTTTCTTGCGCATCTTATGAGCATCCTTTTCTCAACACGAATTATATCTGGTTTATTCTATGTGGTCACGACATTGGTTCCTTAGATTTCGCTCTAAGTAATTAATACGTGATTTCGAACGCAAAACAACATTCAAAATACTGTATTACGGTTAATGAACTACCTATCAGCTAATGAATTGGGAATCGAAATTTAGCTAGCCCGTGATCAGCAATTCTGGATCGGCACTAACACGATTCGTTTACAAAATTTGAAATGTATTCGGTTGCACAATGTGTGTATCACATTACTTTTCGGCAGAAATTTTCCCGGCTCATATCGATATGCTTGTGATACACCCGAAATAGATTCACACCCAAAATAGATTTATCCACACACCCGAAATAGATTTTATGTGTCAAAAATAGATCATAATATATCCAGCAGAGATTTTTTACCAAAAATAAATGACATGGGGGTGCCGCTCATGCGTCACCCTTACGGGTTACCTGTGCAGCATTACATTCGAGTGAAATTTCCGGATCATGAGGAAAAATGTAAAACGTGACTTAATCGCAGAT